TGCTCTTCTAAATTTTGATTCAGGGAGACACCTGTTCATCATCATGGCTGTAACTGTTAGTGAGACCCTGGGTTTGCTGATGTGCTTCTTTCTTGCTTGCCTATCATTTATAAATGTCACTTACTTCTCAACCATTTTCCCCAAATTGATTTCAGACTTGTTCTTTGGGAAGAATATTATCTCTCTCCAATCTTGGATGACACAGCACCCAGCTTTTTATAGCACATATTTTTCTTGGTGAGTCACAGGTTTTTCTTCTGTTGGTGATGGTCTATGATCACTATAGGGCCATCTGCAAGTCCTTGCAGTATTTGATTGTCATGAAGCAATGGCTGTGTGTTGTGCTGCTTGTGGTGTCCTGGGCTGGAGGACTTTTGCACATGGTAATCCAAGTTGGTCTTATGTATGGGCTCCCATCTTATGACCCCAATGTTGTTGGTCATTTTATCTGTGACCTGTAATCCTTAATGAAGTTTGTCTGTGGCTATACACTGAACAGGGTTGCCTATTTTGCAGGTCATGATGTAAATAATAGGTTTTGTAGATTTCATTATGCTCAGACTGGACTTTTTCCTTTTGGTAATTTGACCTCAAGTTATTCTTTTGTAATTTTTTCCCTAGAGGACATGGTTCTATAAATCTTGTTATGCATAGTTATTATCCTTGTGGCATCTCTGGAGATACAGAGTATACCCTCAGAATTATGATAAAGGTCCCAATGAATTTAATTAGAGAAGAATCACCTTTGGAAATGCACCAGTTGAATGACTTAACAATCTGTGCTGTAGTTCAAATGTAGATAAAGCATCCACAGACTTCTGCCCTTACTTCGAAGAGTATTGTCTACATCAGTATTAACATGGCTGATTTTTTTAGGAATTAAAATGATAGACTCAAAACATGATAAAATATGGATTTAAATTATTCTTCATCCTTCAGATTACCCAAGGTCCAACTATGCAGCATGAATACAGGTTTGTATAACTGATTGAGAATCAATATGTTGGAAAGGCTATTTCATTATTTTATTTTTATTGGCATAAAATACAAATATTTATATTAAAAAGTCTCAATTCTCTCTCCCACAAATTTGAGTTTATTTTTAACTTTAAAATGCTTATTTAACCTATTCATCTTTTGATGAACAATTAGGTTGATTCCATGTCTTGCTATTGTGCTCCAAAAGTTACAGGAATGTAGATATCTCTTTGATATACTGCTTTCATTTCTTTTGGATATGTAATTACCAGTGGGATCACTAGACATATGCTAGTTCTATTTTTAATTTTCTGAGGAACCTCCATACTGTTTTCCATAGTGGCTGTACTAATTTGCATTCCTACCAACAGATGATGATCATTCCCCTTTCTCTACATCCTCATCAGTATTTATTTTCTGTTATTTTCATAATAGTCATTTTAACTGGAGTGAGTTGGTAACATAATGAAAAGGATAAAATTCTGCCATTTGCAGCCATGTGGATGGAACTGGAGGATATTAAGTAAAAATGTGGCAGGCACAGAAAGGCAAATATTGCATGTGTTCATTTATGTGGGAGATAAAAAAATTGACCTCATGGCAGTAGTGAATAGAGTTAACTATATATTTCAAAACAGCTAGAAGAGATTTTCTCATCATAAGGAAATGATAAATGTTTGAGGTGATGGATATCCCAGTTATCCAGATTTAATCATTACACATTGTGAGCTTTTGTCAAAATATCATGTGTACCCCATAAATATGTACAATTATAATATGTACATATAAATAAAAAATATTTAACATGTGTTTGTTGTTAGGACAAATTTTGGCAGCAATGAAGATTTTGGGTGTCAGTTCACAATCAAGATTCAGATTTCTTTAAGTTACAGAACACTGTTGATACTCATTTTGAAAATCACAACAATTTAAAAGGTAACTTTTTTTTCTCCATGAAAGTCTGAGATAAATCAGACTTCCTGCAAGCATGGAAAGTGTTGGTCACATGGAAGCATTTCAAGGTCCAGTGATGGTTCATATGTTATTTTGCTCTCTGTGCTCACAGAGATGGTGTCAGTGTACACAGCTGTTTTTTTGTTTGTTTGTTTGTTTTTTGTTTTTTGTTTTTAGGACAAGAAAGAAGATATCACCATCAGAACTTGGACTGAATGACTGTCTTCTTATGCAGGTAACTCAGGATGTGTATTTATACATAAGATTCTGAACTAGGCTTTGCATTATGCAATAACACTGATGATGTGAGAATTCTGTCTTTCAGTAGTTTTCCTAAGTGATTCTGATAATAAGCCACATTAGTGGTTCTTCATGATTGCTAAACTGAATATGAATTGACTCAATTCTATAATACTCTTTTGGATATTTTGAAATTATAAAAACCCATAATAAATTTACTTTCTCTAAATCAGTGTTTTTAGAAACTAATTTCAAGTGTAAACATTTGGGGGATATTTTAATGGGCAGGTATTTATAAATCTCTTCACAGTATCAAACAATGTGTTCTCTAAGCATTGATTAATATGCTAAAAATTAGATGATGTAGCATCTATAGAAGTTGAATAAGTGACTTTCAAGAAACCTAGGTAAGACTTAAGTAAGCAAGGTGTTACTTTAATTCATAGGAATGATAGGTCAAGTAAGAAGAGTACTGAAATTGACCATTGGACTTAGCAAAGTGAAGGTGTCATTTAGAAAGAATAAAAGATAATCAAGATGAGGTGGTTGCTTGACAGAGACGTGGGGTCAAAGAATGGATTTTTTTTAACATGGGGATAAATCATGCAAATATACTAGAAGAATCATGAAATATATGGAGGAAACTTGTTGGAAGTAGAGGAGAAAATTGCAGGAGCACTGTTCTTAAGAGTGGTAAAGAGCATGCGACCTAGTGCATTAACAGAAATTGGCCGTAGTTAGCAACACAGACAATCTGTATTTGAAGACAATGTGTATTTGAAGAGCAGATGAGACACTATGAGGTCAGATTGAAGTAAAGGTCAGCAAAGACTTAGAAAGTGACTAGTTGTCATTACTAGGATTCTTTTAAAAGATAGCTGGACTAGTGAATATTGATATTATGTATGAAATCTTTTTTTTTTTTTTGTGGGTGTGAAGCCTTCTTTTCCTGTCTCTATTTCTTTCCCTCCCTCTCTTCTTCTAGCTTCCTCCATCTCCTCTCTCGTTCTCTCCCTCCCTCCCTCCCTCCCTTCCTTCCTTCTTTCCTTCCCTCCCTTCCTCCCTCCCTCCTTTTCTTCCCCTCCCTCCCTCCTTTTCTTCCCCTCCCTCCCTCTCTCTGTTCCTTCCTCTCTTTCCTTTCCTTCCCCTTTCTCCTTTCATTCCCCTCCCTCCCTCCCTTCCTTTCCCTCCCCTTCCTTCCCCTCTCCCTTCCTCCCTTCCTTCCCCTCCTCTTCCTTCCCCTCTCCCTCCCTGCCTCCCTTCCTCCCTTTCTTTCTCCCTCCCTCCCTCCCTTTCTTTATTTTTATTCTTTCACACACAACTTCTCACCTCTCCCCACATCACCAATGCAAATGTAAATTCTGCTTACAACAAAAAACTATATCCTTCCTTATTTTCCCATGCTTATATAATCATACAGAAACACTTATAAATGGATACATATATAGTATTTTATTTTGTTTGATGAATCATATTATACTGAAATGGTTGTAATTAATTCTTTTAACTGTCTGTATTTCATGTTTTATTTTTCTGTTTGTTTAATGTGATTATAAATAATGTCACAAAAACATGCCATACATCTTTCCTTAGGTACTAGGGCTTTAATTTCTGTGGAACAGCTTTTGGAGGCAGCAATTGTGTTGAAATTATTTCTACTTTCATTAGAGATTGCTAACTTTCATTCCAAAAATATTATAAAATTTGCATTTTCACTAACAGTGTAAGAAAATACTCTTTTATTTTTACTATCTATAGCTACTATTACTTTTAAAATAGTTTTGTCAGTTTGATAAATATAAGGTGGTATTTGTTTTTTATTTTGCATTTTTCTGTTTATAGGTGAACCCCAGCATCCTATTGTATTATATTTTGGCCATTTGGATATACTGTTGTTGTTTTTTGTTTTAATTGCTGGTTTCTCTCATTTGCCCACTTGGCTATTAGTTTGTTTGTGCCTTATTTATTAAATGCTTAGAGCACTTTATCTATTTTAAATATTAACTCTATGTCCTCAAAAATGTAAATCTTTTTTTTTTTTTTTTTTTTTTTGACATAGTTTCGCTCTTGTTACCCAGGCTGGAGTGCAATGGCGCAATATCGGCTCACCGCAACCTCCGCCCCCTGGGTTCAGGCAATTCTCCTGCCTCAGCCTCCTGAGTAGCTGGGATTACAGGCACGCGCCACCGTGCAGCTAACTTTTTGTAATTTTTAGTAGAGACGGGGTTTCACCATGTTGACCTGGATGGTCTCGATCTGTTGACCTCGTGATCCACCCGCCTCGGCCTCCCAAAGTGCTGGGATTACAGGCTTGAGCCACCGCGCCCGGCCAAATCTTTTTAAATGATATCTTTTTGCAATTCCTTAAACAATTTTGAAGTTTACTTTGGATTTCAATTATTAGTTAATAAGATTCTCCCATCCACAGAATGTAGAAAATCATTTTCTTTATTAACTTGAAAGTAAATATAAAGTAAATATAGCTTTAGTTTTATATTAAAAGTTTAATTCATTTAAAAAATTTTTATTGGTATTAGCTATATGTATAGTTTCATGTTCTTCCATATGTAGGACTGGTTTTTGCAAACTCATTTAATAATCTGTCTTTTTATCATATACATCTCAAAGTACTTATTTCTGTCTCCATTAATCTGTAAGATTGCTGAGGTTGGGGACCATACTTTAATCAGCCCTGTATTCTTATAATGTCTTGCAATTCTGGAACATAATAACTCGTAGCACCTATATGTTGAATAAACAAACAGATTATCCTAAAATTTCATGAAGTTACCAGTAATAATTGTATTTGCAGGTAATTTTGTCCTGAACATTGAAATAAATGACATAGAGAAAGACATATGGAACAAAGGAACAATGTGACTGAGTTTGTCCTTGTGGGGCTCATTCAGAACCCCCAGGGACAGAAAATATTATTTGTTGTGTTCTTGCTCGTCTACATTGTGACTATGGTAGGCAATACACTCATCGTTGTGACTGTGGTGGCCAGCCCAACTTTGGATGCCCCTATGTACTTCTTCCTTGGCTACTTATCATTTATGGATGCTGTTTATTCTACTACAGTTACCCCAAATATGATTATAGACTTACTCTATGAGAAGAAAACCATTTTGTTCCAAGCTTGCATGACCCAGCTTTTTATAGGACACTTATTTGGTGGTGCTGAGATTTTACTCCTGGTTGTCATGGCCTATGACCGCTATGTGGCCATTTGCAAACCCCTGCATTATTTGACCATCATGAACCAAAGGGTGTGCATTCTACTGCTGTTGTTGGCCTGGGTTGGAGGTTTCTTACATGCTGTTGTTCAACTTCTTTTTGTCTACAACCTTCCCTTCTGTGGCCCCAATGTCATTGACCATTTCATCTGTGACATGTACCCTTTATTAAAACTTGCTTGCACTGACACCTACGTTATTGGCCTCACTGTGGTTGCCAATGATGGGGCAATCTGTGTGGTCATTTTTATGCTCTTACTCATTTCCTATGGGGTCATTCTGCATTCCCTGAAGAAACTTAGTCAGGAAGGGAGGCGCAAAGCCTTATCTACCTGTGGTTCCCACATCACTGTGGTGATCCTCTTCTTTGTCCCTTGTATTTTCATGTATCTGAGACCCCCTTTGACCTTACCCATTGATAAATCCTTGACTGTGTTTTACACTGTTATCACCCCTATGTTGAACCCTCTAATCTACACTTTAAGAAATGCAGAGATGAAAAATGCTATGAAGAAGCTCTGCACCAGAAAAAGAAAATGAAGTGACAGACAAATGTATCATCTATTTTCAGTGAAGAGTTGCTCCCTCCAGGAAAGCCATGTGTGATTATTCAATTGTAGCAAAATTTTGCTCAGGCGTAATAACTTGTATGCAGTGAAAATCATTTATTATGTGAATACTTGCAATGATCAAAATATATTTGGAAGATTTTCATAATTTATTAGGAAAATATATGTTTACTCTTTGTCTGCAGAATGGCTCTTGAGATGATAGATTTATGTGTTATTAATACTGTAAATTTATTTTAGTTTATGAAAGGCTTTCTCATGTTTGTCTTTTAAGTAAAGTTAATCCTTCTTCAGAATTAATAATGCTCATTAGAGATTTCAGAAAAATGAATTAAGAAATAAGACATAAAGGGCCGGGTGTGGTGGTGCTTGGTATAATCCAAGCACTTTGGAGGCCAAGGTGGGTGGATCACCTGAGGTCGGGAGTTCAAGACCAGCCTGATCAACATGGTGAAACCCCATCTTTATAATAAAAAAAAAAAAAGACATAAACACTTTGTTTAGTCCTCCCCACAGAAATACAGAACACATTAATATTTGAAGTGTATATTTTATTTTGTATTTTAAAATACTTTACATATATAATTTTATTCATCGTTTTTAGCATATTAAGGTTGAAGAGGAATAATGCTAATCATAAGGAGACTGAGTATACAAAAAGAATCTGAATGAAGAAGGGAGACATGCAGAAAAATAACTCAATCTTACTTATTTTTCCAAATGAGAAGTCATATTAAGTCCTCAGGTGAAGCAGCTTGATTTGGTGCCATGTTTTTATAAAGATGATCCATTAATCTCCTCGGTGTGTGATGCTCCCCTCCCTGTGTCCATGTGTTCTCATTGTTCAACACCCGCCTATGAGTGAGAACATGCGGTGTTTGATTTTCTGTTCTTGTGTTAGTTTGCTGAGAATGATGGTTTCCAGGTTCATCCATGTCCCTACAAAGGACACGAACTCATCATTTTTTATGGCCGCATAGTATTCCATGGTGTATAAGTCATTTTTCCTGTCCGGTGTATCATCAATGGACATTTGAGTTGGTTCCAAGTTTTGCTATTGTAAACAGTGCTGCAATGAACATTTGTGTGCATATGTCCTATAATAGAACAATTTATAATCTCATGGCCTTCTAAAAAAGAGCCAGGCTCTATTTTTCATAGGTAAAAATAGCATCATCTATAATTTGTGAGCTTTAAAAATGCACTGCAGAGCTTGTTAGCAATATTTTGGAATACTTCACTGTCAAGAAAGATAGGCAGGTGTGGTGGTGCTTGTCTTGGTTCCATCTCCACAGGAGGCTGAGGTGGGAGGATCTCTTGAGCCTGGGAGGTCAAGACTGAAGTGAGCCATGATCATGCTACTGCACTCTAACCTGGGTGACAGAGCAAGTCTTATTTAAAAAAAAAAAAAAAAAGAAAAAGAAATGAAAAGAAAGATGCTGGCAATATATGATGCTTCTATTCTTACTTTCTTTATTGATAGAATCCAGATTATTAGGTAATAAAAGGACCAAAACATATTGTTTCATTGGAAAGAAACTTCATTTATAAAATCTTTGTGAAAATTTCTTTTGAATCAGGCTTGAAATAAAATTTTATCTGCTCCTGACTACAGATAGAAAACATGTAGTCAAAGAAACTTATTGTTCCTGCTTCTCCTGCATAGTCTAGATTCACAAGGGACGAAGGCTAGGGAAAAAAATAAGTCAGTTTCACTGGTAAACCATACTATATGAGTTCATTTTGTATTATTTATTTTTATCTGTATTATTATTACATGGAGATTTCTTATCTCATCCAAGCTTTTCCAAAGCATAGCACTATTCTCCAAATAATTTCAAGCATTTGGTGGTACCAGAGTTTACATACCTAGGTCCTGCATTTTTTGACATGTATTTAATTTTCAAATTTGTATGGTTCTATTGAGAGATGAAATAAAAAAATTGTGGTTAATTGTCTGCTTATGTTTATTGGTCTGAAAGTTTCCTGAAGTCAGGGAAAGTTATTTCTCTTTGTGCTCCCTGTTCCTTGCACAGTGGCTGGCACATAGAACCCACTACATAAACTTTGTCAATTATTATTTGTATCCTTGAATTCTTAATCTATTGGAGTCAGAATCTTTACTGATACATTGTGATAAACTTTTTTCTGTATCAAAGATGCATATATGTTCATACCATTTTTTGATATTTGCTATAAATATTTACCTTACTCTGTTATTGATGCTACAATTATGAATGTTTTTATATACAAATGTTTTATCTTTTTAACCTTTGAATTTTAATTAATTATTATACTTTAAGTTCTGGGGTACATGTGCAGATCGTGCAAGTTTGTTACACAGGTTTACACATACCATGGTGGTTTGCTGCATCCATCACCCATCATCTACATTAGGTATTTCTCCTAATACTACTACTCCCCAATCTCCCCATCCTCTGCTATTTCTCCCCCAGACCCCCATCCGCCAGACCCCATATGTGATGTTCCCTTCTGTGGGTCCATGTGTTCTCATTGTTCAACACCCACTTATGAGTGAGAACATGTGGTGTTTGGTTTTCTGTTCTTGTGTCAGTTTTCTAGAAAGATGATTTCCAGTTTCATCCATGCCCCTGCAAAGGACATGAACTTATCCTTTTTTTTTATAGCTGTATAGTATTTGTGGTGTATATGTGCCACATTTTCTTTATCCAGTCTACCATTGATGGGCATTTGGGTTGGATCCAAGTCTTTGCTACTGTGAACAGTGTCACAATAAAATACCTGTGCATGCATCTTTATAATAGAATGATTTATAATCCTTTGGGTATATACCCAGTAATGGGATTGCTGGGTCAAATGGCATTTCTATTTCTAGATCCTTCAGGAATCAGCTCACTGTCTTCCAAAATGGTTGAACTAATTTACACTCCCACCAAAATGTAAAAGCATTCCTATTTCTCCACATCCTTTCCAGCATCTGTTGTCTCCTGCTTTTTTAATGATCGCCATTCTCACTATGTGAGACTGTATCTCAATGGGGTTTTGATTTGCATTTCTCTAATGACCAGTGATGATAAGCCTTTTTTTTCAAATGTTTGTTGGCTGCATAAATGTCTTCTTTTGAAAAGTTTCTATTCATATCCTTTGCCCACTTTTTGATGAGGTTGTTTGTTTTTTTTTTTTTTCTTGTAAATTTGTTTAAGTTCTCTGTGGATTCTGGATATTAGCCCTTTGTCTGATGGATAGATTGCAGAAATTTTTTTTCTATTGTTAGTTGCTGGTTCACTCTACTGATAGTTTCTTTTGCTGTACAGAAGCTCTTAAGTTTAATTAGATCCCACTTGTCTATTTTGGCTTTTGTTGCCATTGCTTTTGGTGCTTTAGTCATGAAGTCCTGCCCATGCCTATATCCTGAATGGTATTGCCTAGGTTTTCTTCTAGAGTTTTTATGGTGTTAGGCCTGATATTTAAATCTTTAATCCATCTAGAGTTAATTTTTGTGTACAGTGTAAAGAAGGGATCCAGTTTCGGCTTTCAGCATATGGCTAGCCAGTTTTCCCAATACCATTTATTAAATAGGGAATTCTTTCTCCACTAATTGTTTTTGTCAGGTTTGTCTAAATGCCCACCACAGAAGCGAGGGAAGATGTAAAACTGACACCCTAACGTCATGATTAAAAGAACTAGAGGAGCAAGATCAAACAAATTCAAAAGCTAGTAGAAGGCAAGAAATAACTAAGATCAAAGCAGAAGTGAAGGTGATAGAGACACAAAAAAAACCCTCAAAAATCAATAAATCCAGTAGCTGGTTTTTTGAAAAGGTTAACAAAATAGATAGACCACTGGCCAGACTAACAAAAAAGAAAAGAGAGAAGATTCAAATATATAAAATAAAAAACGATAAAGGGGGTATTACCACTAATCCCCCAGAAATACAAACTACCATCAGGAATACTATAAACACCTCTGTGCAGAAAACCAGTAAATCTAGAAGAAATGGATAAATTCCTGGACACTTACACCCTTCCAAGACCAAATCAAGAAAAAGTTGAATTCCTGAATAGACCAATAGCAAGGTCTGAATTAATTGAGGCAGCAATTAATAGCCTACCAACCCAAAAAAGTCCAGGACCAGATGGATTCACAGCTGAATTCTACCAGATGTCCAAAGAGGAGCTGGTGCCATTTCTTCTGAAACTATTCCAAACAATATAAAAAAGAGGGAATCTCGCTAACTCATTTTATGAGACCAATATCATCCTGATACCAAAACCTGTCAGAGACAACTAAAAAAGAAAATTTCAGGCCAATATCCATGATGAACACTGATGCAAAAGTCGTCAATAAAATACTGGCAAACCAAATCCAATAGCACTTTAGTAAGCTTATCCATCACAACCAAGTCAGCTTCATCCCAGGGATGCAAGGCTTGTTCAACATCCACAAATCTGTAAACATAATCCACCACATAAACAGAACCAAAGAGAAAAACCACATGATTATCTCAATAGATGCAGAGAAGGCCTTCGACAGAATTCAACAGCCCTTTATGCTAAAAACTCTCAATACACTAGGTATCAATGGATTGTGTCTCAAAATAAGAAGAGCTATTTCTGACAAACCCACAACCAATATCATATTGAATGGGCAAAAGATGAAGGCATTCTCTTTGGAAACTGGCATAAGACAAGGATGCCCTCTCTCACCACTTCTATTTAACACAGTATTGGACATTCTGGCTAGGGGCCACCAGGCAAGAGAAAGAAAGAAAGCGTATTTGAATAGGAAGAGAGGACGTCAAATTGTCCCTGTTTGCAGATGACATGATTGCATATTTAGAAAACCCCATAGTCTCAGCCCAAAATCTCCTTAAACTGATAAGCAACTTCAGCAAAGTCTCAGGATACAAAATCAATGTGCAAAAATAACAGGCATTCCTATACACCAATAGTACACAAACAGAAAGCCAAATCATGAGTAAACTCCCATTCACAATTGCAACAAAGATAATAAAATACCTTGGAGTACAACTAACAAGGGATGTGAAGGACCTCTTCAAGGAGAACTACAAACCACTGCTCAAGGAAACAAGGGAGGACACAAACAGATGGAGAAATACTCCATTCTCATGGTTAGGAAGAATCAATATCATGAAAATGGCCATACTGTCCAAAGTAATTTATAGATTCAATGCTATCCCCATCAAGCTACAAATGACTTTCTTCACAGAATTGGAAAAAACCACCTTAAAATTCATATGGCACCAAAAGAGCCCATATAGCCAAGATAATCCTAAGCAAAAACAAACAAACAAAACACCAAGCTGGAGGCATCACACTACCTGACTTCAAACAATATTACAAGGCTATTATAATCAAAACAGACCTGGTACCAAAACAGAGCTATAAACCAATGGAACAGAACAGAGGCCTCAGAAGAAACATCACACAACTACAACCATCTGATCTTTAATTTCTTCTGTCATATCACACTTCAGAAAATTCCATTCCCCTCTAGCAACTTTATCCATTTGAACATCTTATTTCATTTCTTTATTTTTCTTCCAGTTTTCATTTTAGAATCAGGAGGCACATGTGCAGGTTTGTTACAAAGGTATACTGCATGATGCTGAGGTTTGGAGTATGATTGAACCCACACCCAGGTTGTGAGCATGGTACCCAGCAGGTAGTTTTTGAGCCCTTGCCCACCTCCCTCTCTTCTGCCTCTAGTTGTCCACATTAAAAAAAAATAACTTGGGGGAGGACTCAAGATGGTGCTGTGACAACAACCCAGGATTGGAGCTCTCGTTGAATCCGCAAAGAGGTGAGTCGGAGCTGCATTTCTAGACTGATTTTGTTGCCCACAGAACGGGGAAACTCCCAAGTATAAAAAAGACACGGGACACCAGGCAGTAGGTCTGCCTGGCGAAGCCGGCAGCCGGGGCGGCGGCGGCTGGCCCTACCCAGCAATCCCCACAGGGTGCGCTTGTCCGGGTGCCCTGTTGAACCAGCAACCTGAGACTTGAGAGGGCTGGACTTGAGACTGAACGAGACTTGGACAGTAGGCCAGCCCAGGGGATTGCAGGGACAGATCGTTTGGGGTACCCAGTGGGATGAACAAAACCGCGATTTCAAACTATCCCGAGCAGACAGTCCTCCACTACCGAGGCAACCCACCCCAACTGAGATACACGCCCACTGCTGACGCAGCCTCCCGTTGCCGAGGCAACCCGTCCCTACTGAGATACACGCCCACTGCTGATGCAGCCTGCCGTTGCCAAGGCAACACGCTACAACGAAGAGACTCCGCCGCAGGGCATGGCGGAGACCACAGCAGAGCCTGCAGGAACAGGGCGAATCACACAACAGCAGGGCAGAGTCTCGGCAGCCAAACAGTGGCTAGTCGGCCTTCTAGCTGGGCAGGACACCTCAACGGACATCGAAAAATAAAGCCTGAACCCCCCAACACAGAGCATTTGAGAAGAAAAGGTTTTTTTTTTAATGAGCTCTGTTGCAGCAGAATCAAACATAACGTATCTCAAAGTAATAAAAGCTATTTATGACAAACCAACAGCCAATATCATACTGAATGGGCAAAAACTGGAAGCATTCCCTTTGAAATCTGGCACTAGACAAGGATGCCCTCTTTCACCACTCCTATTCAATATAGTTCTGGAAGTTCTAGCCAGAGCAATCAGGCAAGAAAAAGAAATAAAGGGTATTCAAATAGGAAAGGTGGAAGCCAAATTGTCTCTATTTGCAGACGACATGATAGTATACCTAGAAGACCCCATCACCTCAGCCCAAAAACTCCTGAAACTGATAAGCAACTTATGCAAAGTCTCAGGATATAAAATCAATGTGCAAAATTCACAAGCATTCGTCTACACCAATAACAGACTTAAAGAAAGCCAAATCAAGAACGAACTGCCATTCACAATTGCTACAAAAAGAATAAAATACCTTGGAATACAACTCACAAGGAACGTAAGGGACCTCTTCAAGGAGAACTACAAACCACTGCTCAACGAAATCAGAGAGGACACAAACAGATGGAGAAACATTCCATGTTCATGGTTAGGAAGAATTAATATCGTGAAAATGGCTATACTGCCCAAAGTAATTTACGG